ATAGATAGATAGATAGATAGATAGATAGATAGATAGATAGATAGATAGATAGAAAGAAAGGCACCTCTGAAAGGCACCAGAAGCAGACAGTGTGTGTTAGCCTTGGTTGTGGACAGTGAGAAGAATGTCTGCATGGAGCTGAAGGTGGTAGGGGAGTGTGAACAAAATGTGTACTGTCCATAAAAATGATAACAGGAAATGTCAGGCAAATAATGTTTACATTACCCAAGCTAGCTTTGCACCAAAGTACCTGTGGGGTTTTGCTTTTGCTTTTTGTTTTGTTTTGTCTTGGTTTTGGTTTTTTGAGGCAGAGTCTCCTTGTGTAGCCCTAGGCATCCTGGAACTCGCTATGAAGAGTAGGCTGCCTCTGCCTCTCCAGTGCTGGATGTGTTCTCTACCACACTGGCAGATCTGTGTTTGGAAAGGTACCTGTGTAGGGCTAGAGAGATGGCTCAGCAGTTAAGAGGACAGGCTGCTCTTCCACAGAACCCTAGTTCAAGTCTCAGAACCACGTGGTAGCTCACAACTGTAACTCCAGTCCCAGGGGATCCCATGCCCTCTTCTGACCTCGATGGATACCAGGTACACAGGTGCTACAGACATACACACACAGGTAAAACTCTTATATGCAATTTTTTAAAATCAAGTATGCAAAATCTTTTAAAAATATGCTTATATTCCACACTTCGACAAAACAAAGTCTTAGAAAAAATTCATTAAACGCTTACTCACGATGAAAAATTACAAAACACACAACCATCTGGGGTGGCACACCTATAAGCTCCAATCCTTAGGAAACAAAGAAAGCAAGGTCAAAAGTTCAAGGCCAGCCTGAGTTATGTAGGCAAAACCTGCCTCAAAAGCAGAAAGTGAGGAAACAAGACATCCAGAGAGAAGCAGCAAGCACAGTAAACGGTACTATCAGACGTGCAGGAACCAGGCCCTGAGACTACAGGAACCAGCCAGAAAATACAAATGCTTATCGGAAAAAAACAAAAACCTTGAGAAGCCCTAGGCTTAATCTCCAAATTTAAAAAAAAAAAGAGGAAACTATGAAGATGAATAAATAGTTAAAATTAAAGCTCCTCCCAGCCAGGCGTCAGCCTTGAGGTCCTAATGAGGAGACTGGACTCCTGTCCCTGCCAACTCATAGAAGTCTAGGGACAAACGTTGGAGTTCTGCCACCAACTGGCAACAAGCAGTAAGGCTTTGGGTAACCAGACTGCCAGGGAAGAAGAACCAGAATGTCCCAAGACCTAAACATCCAGAACCAACAGGAAATCTTTTTTCCTACTAAAAACTGAGGGAAATGCAACTTCAGTGTACAAGCCACTAAATCTGAGGTGGCAGACATATTGTGATTATCTGGTAAGCAAGGATTTTTAAAGTAGTTGATCATAGCAATGTTATAGGCAATTAATTATGCACATACTTGAAATGAATTTTTTAAAAGAGTCTCAGCAAGAAAATAGGTATAAGAAGACATGGAGGGTCAAGGAGACAGGCTTTCTTAACAGGCATGAGAGTTGGGGTCTTATTCATAGATCCCACAGGAAAAGTCAGGAGTGCTGTTAGAATACCGCCACTGGGGGGGGGGGGGCAGAGACGGGAAGGTCCTGGGACACCCTGGTCAGTCTAGACCACTTGGAGAACTCCAGGCCAGTGAGAGACCCTGCCTCAAAAACACAAGGTGGACAGAGCCTGAGAACAACACTGGAGGTTGACTTCCAACCTCCGCATACAAACACACATGTGTACCTGAACTTATGTGTACACACACAACATAAACAGAATTTTTAAAAATGAGGCAGAAACCTTAACGTTAAAAATATAAGGATCTGAATAAGAACTCTAAGGATGGGCTCAACAGCAGAAATGGGAATTCAGAGTGGAGGAAGCACTGAATTTGAAGACAAAAATAGAATGTACCCTTCCCCCTCTCTCCCCCATCTCTTTTTTTCTTTTCTTTTTTCTATTTATTTATTTATTTATTTATTTATTTATTTATTTATTTATTTATTTTGCTATTATTGTTGAGACGAGGTTTCTCTGTGTAGCCCTGGCTGTCCTGGAACTCACTTTGTAGACTCTGCTAGCCTTGAACTCACAGAAATCTGTCTGCCTCTGCCTCCCGATTGCTGGGATTCAAGGCGTGCGCCACCTTAAAGGCACCATCTTGAACAAGAGACGTCGCTTTCCAAGGCTGCATGGGATACCCAAGCGTATCAACACAGCTTTCTTGAAACAAGACTACCAAGATAGAGGGCGGGTTAATGGTTTCCAAGGCACAGAGATGGGGTGCGGGTAGGAGTGGAGGGCGTGGCTGCAGAACAGCAGCAGTAGGGCTGTCTGGGGGCTGTGGCAGTCCCAGATCTTGGCTACAGATCTAGATGTCACAAACTGTACAAATGTCGGTCTCTTGGTTTTGATTTTGTTAATGTTACGACTTCCCTGGTGCAAACTAGATGAGCTGAAGTATCCTTGAAGCCTCTTGGCATTGTCTTTATAATTTTTCAACCTCGGAAAAAAATAATAATAGTTTTTGTTTATTCTTTGAAATGTTCATATACAAACAAAATATATTTTGCTCATATTTATCCCCAACTTCTCCCTCCCAACTTCATGTCACTTAATCCACTAAGTCCAAATCATGCTGCCCTTATGCACAACACACGAAACCATGAGCCTGAAGTCCTTTCGTTCTAAAGCTAACAGGCAAGTTAACAGCATCAAGGAGAAGAAAAGGGAGACACACAAACATAAGACCTACCAAGAGATCCACACGGGTCACATCTGTGTCACTGCTTTTCAAGGACACACTGTGCTACCCAGGCTATTCTCAAACTCCGGGCTGGAATGATACTCTACATCAGCCTCCTGAACAGCTGAGATGAGAGATACATGTGCTCACATGCCAAGCTCACAAGAACGTTTTGCAAAAGGAAATTGTTTTTATTGTAAGCTGTTAAAGATCATTTTTTAGTTAGTTTACTTCTATCCACTTAAAATCAACACTGTTTTCAAACTGTAGCATATCAATCTTTAGGAAGAATTTGGTTTACAAAGGTTAAGGATAAAATACTCGCACTCTTTGGTTTATTTTTCATTGGTCATTATCCATTATTATCTTAATCAAGTACATCAGCTTCTACACCTTACTAGCTAAAACAGCCACAGAAACAAAAGGCTTGCTAAGAAGAAACCCGCCCTGGCTTCAAAAGAGATGGGTTTCTGAATTCTTCCAGAATTCTTCAGTTCACAATTACCTCAAAAGTACAGAAGTTGGGGTTCTGTGCTCATAGAGACGTCTTTCTCCCCTTACCTGACAAGCTGGCACACACCTGAAAATCCAGCACTTGACTTAACTGAAGCAGGAGAATCACAACTTCAAGACCAACCTGGGCTATATAGCAAGATCCTGTCTAAAATATAGATTAGAGACTTTTTCTCCCCTTGTAGTTTAGAATCTTATGTTAGTATAGATGAATTAGTCATAGCTCTTCTTAAAATATGAGCCAATTAATACTGAATTAATGTCAATTTACAAAAATTAACATAAATATTCATTCATTAACTTCACTTAGGTAATATGGGCATCAAAATGGGACTTTGAAACACTAATACATGCAAATTTTGATACATCTATGGTAATAAACCCAGTAGCTATCTTGAGCAAACAGAAAGGCAGAAACACTGAAATTTAAAACAGATTTATTAACTCCAAAAGGTAAGAGAATAGGAATGATCCCAACGTGGTCCTCACACCCAGCACCGTGCTTAGTCTTAGCATAGAATATGGTCAAAAGAAGGCAAGACAGCTTGGAACTAAGCCCATAGACACCAGAGGGTGAAATGCTGTGCTAAGCCCGACTAGTGTCTTACATCAGACATAAATAATAGAACAGACCATTTCCCAAGCAAGAGTTGAGAGTTAAGTACAAACAATTCAGTTTGTAATGTAGAACCCCATTTGTGTGCACTGGTTCCCTTGTGTGTCCGAGTCCAACGCTATGTTGTATCCCAGAATAAAAACAAGTTTAGAATTGCTAGGACAGCTAAAGACATGACACACCCCTTCCAACACTAACCATCTGACGGCCCTCAAACCTTCCATTAATATCTGACAATTACATATACATACCGGACTACATTTTCTGACCTAGAGCCTCGAGCGGCAGTTTTCATGTCGTGGATAGAGCCAAGACATAAGGTCTTCAGGTAACTGATAATTGTCTTTTAAAAGGGATGGGCCCTGACTAATTTTAAACATTAAGCTGAATA